GAGTTTAAATGACTTTGCTTACGCAGCTAGTTAAGTGTCCAAATTGGGTCAGACTCAAATTTCTAAACTCCTGATCCAAGGCTTATTCCATTAGACTGCGCTGTGTCTCTCAGAGCATAGGCTGCTAGAAATACAGAAGAGTGGGATAGGTAGTGTTGTAAGTGTTGATATAAAACGAACATATTACAGTGGGGTGGGCATTCAGGTTTCATCTGCGTTTCGCTCAAATTGACTACTTTATGTAGTTAAATAGGTATTTCACAGAGATTGTGCCAAATCCCTTCCCAAAGAAGCCCCTGTAGTGTGTTACCAAAGATGACTTTCATGCTAGAAGGGGTGTGGAGGCAGGCTGGTCATGCAAGCAATGGCAGATAGACCCCCAGGGGCTGAACTTTCACCCTGGGCTAGTAAAAGATCCATAGCCAAGACTACTTCCTTTTTAGTGAGCTTCTCCTGCAAAATTTAGAGAAGGAACATGTGCATTAGAAGGGAACTGGCTGCTTTGCAAATGGCACCACTGGAAGGAGAATCCACGTGGCGGAGATCACAGACCCAGGCAATTAATGAAGCATTAATATGTTGCAAGCCTTCTTAGAAAGAGGGAAACACGTTTAAGGAAGAGAGATGCCAATACGCTAGTAATGGATGGAGGATGAGGCAGAGGGCATGACTCTTAGGTGTCTCCAAAGCCCCCCAGCTAAGCACCATCACACTCACCAGATCACAGTGTCCAGTGCAAAGAAGGGGCCGGATAAATGCTTGTCAATTGGTTGATTGATTGGCTGAGCAATTGACTGATGGGTTCCCTGAGTAGATTGCTTGTGCTAAAATTGTTTACATTTTCTAAAGTAGCTCCCCAAATTCTAGCCCCATCCAAGTCCAACCTTGAAATTCAGTCCTCACGTATGTAGTTGTGAAAATTTGCCTGGTTTTCCGTGGAAGTAAACGAATGACTTTGAATCCATTGCACAGCTTCCTCGATTCTATTTTGCATGGCTGGTTTGGAGAAGGGGATTTCCAACTGTAAAGAGACCTCAGGAAGCATCTAGTCCAACCCCTTTGTCCTGGAGAGGAGAGCCTGGGCCTCCTCTGGATCCCACGGGATGCTGCAGATCCGCATTCTCTGATTCCAAATCCATGGTCCCTCCCACAGGCTGCTTCTCAGGGTGCTGTGCCTTTGGCTACTTCAAAAATCCATCATTTCGTAATCTCTCCACCTGCCTTATTAGATGGATTCACAAGTAGCAAAGTCAAATCCACCTTGTGGCCATCTCAACGGTGCAAGCTCAGCTCTGCTGCTACCTGGATCAATCCAGCTCTTGAAGCCCTTCTGGCTTGGTATGACTACCCACAGCTTTCGTGTGCTGGCAGAATTCTTGTGATCCCTTCACACGCTCTTCTTTCTAGACAAATTGATGAGCTTTGATGAACTTGGTTTTCTCTCTGTCCTCGATGCCTCCGCACAGACTGTCCTGTTCAACTATCAGGTGGGACTGTAGCCACTAGCCTAACTCCATGCACAGAAAGAATCAGCTAGTAGGAAATCCTGTGTTCACCTCGGCTGTTGTGTACTCCAACCAACAACCAGGGGAGACCTGGCGAGATGCCCGGCTCCCCACAGATCCTAGAAAACCCCTGTTTCTCTATGGGTGGCAGCATTGGTACCCCTTGTCTGAAAATTTATCCAATCAGGAGACCTTTAGGCCCCCGAGGTGGGGACCATCCGATTCCCACCTCCTCCAATGGACCATCTGATCCTTGAAATGTAAACGCTGCATCATGGAGTCAGCTACAGAAGGGAAAAGATAAGCCTATCTACTATATACAGCATATTTACCAAAATAGCCATTACCAGAACAAAAAAAAACCCCAAAACAGCAAAAGAGAATCAAATCAAACGTGTATTTGGACAACTTCTCTACAATCAGTGCACAGCTTTGCCTAGACATGGGCAGTCCTTAACCAGTAACATTCTGTCATAACCATTAACTCTTTAAAGCCTGAGGGGCTATATAATCATCCATGTGGTTCCCTCTTCATCTTTGTGGAATTTATCTTATATGAAAAATTATGAGTTCAGACATAATTGCTCTGAGCCTCGAGGTAGGAAAATTCTTAACATTTACGCAAAAGCTGTACTGTCTTGTTAACTCTGTGGTTGAGGCAAAATCAGTTTACTGGAAATGTTTGTGTGACAAAACAGGAGACCCAGGCACGAGGCAAGCAAACTGGAGAAAAAGCCACCTTTCCTTGGGACTTCCCTCAGCCCAGATCTTCTGCTCCAAGATGCTTATTTTGCTGCTCTCCTTCCTCCATAGTGCCCACCTTGGTGACAGCTCTGTCCTGCCTTTGATACTTGGAGGTATGCACAATCCCTGGTTCCAATCTCTGCTTCCAGACCCCAGACTCCTTAAGGTCTCTCACAATAGTTTTGATTATTTCCAGGAGGTTGGTTTCAGTGATTCCTAAGGTCCCACTAAAGTCTCTCCCAGTTTCAAACCTATGATCCAATGTCCACAGCTCCAGGATGCAGGTGCCAGGTGGGAAGAAAACCCAGCCAGGTATATTTAGTGAAACCTACACCTACCGTCCACCCACAGCCCCCAGAGCTAGCTGATCAGTGAGGAGAGATTGTTACTACGTGGAGTGCCTGCAGACAGGCTGAAACTTCCTGAGGGACTGCAGCTGAAGCATATTCTAAGTACTGCCCGCCACCTTTGGAAACTGATGAGTGAGTAACTGAGAAAACCCCATTGCTTGTGATAGAATTCTGGCTTCCTTTCCCAGCATGAGTGAGAAAAGCTACTGCAGAGTAGAGTGTCGTGTGAACATGAGTGTTGCAGCCCAGACTGGAGCACACAGACCACTGCATTCCCCATTGGTGTCCGAGCTTGCTCCCCAACTAACCCGTTAACAAGTTTGTGTCTGTCTTTCTTGGTCAGTATAAAGGAAGTGTGCCCTGTATTGCGTTCCTGGGAGATGTCCTCCCTTGGTAGGAGGTGGGGGAGGCTACTGGGAAAGGATCTTGCTCATCTGTGTCTGTTTTTGGACAATAGGAGGTAATGAAAGAACTGGGTCTAAGCTTAGATTGCTAAGAAAACCACCTGCTAATGAGAACTGGCCAGACTAAGATTTTATGCATTATCTCTATTAAGGGGTGATGCTCAGGGAAGAAAAGAATGCCCTCCCCTTGGGGACACTATGGGAGTAGGGAGGATAAAAAGCTGGGCTTGGAATCAGGAAGACCTGAGTTTGAATTTCACTTTAGATAGTGACCGTGGGCAAGTCATGTAACCTCTCTGGGCCTATAAGTTGGACTTGAAGACCTCTCAGCTCACCTAAGCTGATGATCCCATGACCTGCATAGTTAGGAAGTCGATGGGTGATTCTATGGGACTGGCACAGGAAGTGAAATAAAAAACATCTGAACTTTTTACAGCACTTTAGATATATTTGAGTCTCACAAATAACCTACAGGTCTTATTATTGACACTTTACAGATGGAAAAACTGAGGCTAAGGGAGTTCAAGGGACTTGCTCCTGGTCAAACAAGTGTCCAAGAAGGGATTCAAAGCCCGATCTCCCCTGCCTCTCACTCCAATGTTCAGTCCTCTCCATTGCTCTAAAACATCAAGGATTAGGAGCTGGATGTCAGGGACGAGGACCCACTTGTTTGAACCAGAGACATTCCCCCAGATGCAGAGTAAATGTTTTCTAGCCCCTCGTCTCTATCCTGTGCATGGCTTTTTTTTTTTCCCAATGCATTCCTTGTAAGCAACAGATTGTGGGGTTTGTTTTCTTACCCAATCATCACTTTTTTGTTGTTTATTGTATTGTTCAATCTATTTACATTTAAGTTGTGAGTTAGATTTATATTCTCTATTTGTCTTTAATTTTGTGTCTACCCCAAACTACGATTTCCCCCCCCTTTCTCTATAACAACAGCAGTAGTCTCTTCAGTTGTTTTAGCTTAATCTATTTTAAGGCCCCCCTGTTCCTATCTGCTCCCCTTAACCTCCCCTCTCATTTGTTGCTCTTTTCTTTAGTTTTGGCATTTTCCTGATCAGTTATTTGCCTTTATTTAATTCTTCTCCTCTCAGTTAAGTAGTTGAGTAGAATCTATGTGTTCTACCAAGTGGCTGCTCCTGTTCCTCCAGTACTGGTTTCTGGCCCTGGGGCAGCTGCTCTGATACTCCCCTGAATCTCATGGGCCATAGCAGAAGGCTTTAGCTTTGCTGGAGCAGTGGGACCTCACTGTCACACAGGTTCACATTCTTCCCAAGCATTGGGGGTGGGTGGGGCTACCTTTCCATAGGCCACCTGAGGGTCAATGAATGGGTCCTGCTGGAGGGGTGTGTGTGTGTGTGTGTGTGTGTGTGTGTGTGTGTGTGTGTGTGTGCGTGCCCGTGACAGTGCTTGGATGTCCCTGGGCTAAATTCAGGGGTCTTCAGAGGGGCCATGGAATTGCATCCTGCTTTCCCTAGTTGCCTCCTCCCTTAGCCGATTCCTGAAATTCTTTCTTAATCCTAGTTCCTGAAGTCCTCCCTCACCTTGCCTCTGTGAGCCCATACTCCATCTATCCTTGTATTCTCCTGCTGGTTGACTCACCTGGGCCCCTTTCTCTGCTTCCCTACCGCTATGTTGCCCAAGATAAGGCCCACACCCAGATCTAAGAAAGCCCGCCTTGGGTGGACCCCACTGGAAGAGAGGGTTTGCCTCTTGGGAGCTGGGATGGGATGGGAGCAACTGCATTGTCAGCAAGGCAAAATTATAAAGTAAGGCAGCTCATGTCATGATATGCAGAGTTACTACATTCCAGGGCATGTGGTTCAGTCCTTTCAGTTTTGTCTGACTCTCTGTGATCCTATTTGGGGTTTTCTTGCCAAAGATTTCTTGGAGTGGTTTGCCATTTCCTTCTCCAGCACATTTGACAGATGAGGAAACTGAGGCAAATAGGGTTAATTGAATTGCCCAGGGTCACACAGCTACTAAGTGTCTGAGGCCAGATTTGAACTTGTAAATATGAGTCTTCCTGACTTCCAGCTGGGCACTCTATCCAATGCTCTAATTAGCTGTAATTTCAGTACAAATGATGAGGGAAATAGGAAGATGAATATGTCAACAAGTATTTATTAAGTCTCTACTATGTGCCAGGGACTGTGCTGAGCACCGAGGATATAAATACAATGAATGAACAATCCCGGTGAGCCAGGAGCTTCCACGGGGTCGGGAAGATAATTAGTACATGTGGAATATGAAGAGTAAACACTAACTAGTGAAATACAGGGCTGTTAGGGACAGGTGGGGGCGGGGCTAGCAGTTTTAGGCAGGGTCGGGAGAGACTTCAGGTAGAAGGTGGGGCTTGGGCGGCGAGGCACCTGTGATGTGGCAGTGAGGAGGAACACCTACCAGTCATGGGTACGGAGAGCACCAAGGCGGAGAGATCGGACATGGTCGTCATGTGGGAGGAATGGCCAGGAGGCCAGTCTGGCTTGTCTGCAGAGTACAGAAAAGGGAGAAATTCCCAGTGAGGCTGGAAAGGCAGGCTTGGTCCAGATCGGGTAGGACTTTAAAGGCTCAATAGGGGAGATGATTGCTAATCCTAGAGGTGATGGGGAGCATCTGGAGGTCATTGAATCCCTACTCAGTCATGATGTGGTCAGAGCCGTGGTAAGGAAAATCACTTTGGCCAGAGTGAAGAGGTCACAAGAGGACGCATCGGGGTGGGGAGATCCTTGAGATGGGGAAGTAATGGGGCAAGGAGATAAGTTAAACGGTTTGCTGTGTGAGTGCAGGGAAGGGATGAAACCTTGAGAGGCAGTGGAGATAGAAACAGAAAGGCTGGATGGCTCATCGGATCTATGGGGTGAGGGAATGAAGACTCCAGAATGGTGCCAAGCTTCTGAACCTGGCAGAGAAACAGGAATGTTTCAAAGACGGGTAGTGTTTTTTTTGGGAGGGGGGAGGTGAGTTCTCTTGTTCCCCAAAACGAACGTATTCGTTTTGTTTCAAATTTCGTGTGATTACAACATTAAACCTTCTACACTAAATTCTGGTGACTGAGTGTGTCCCAACCAGCCCACGCGGCTGCGGTCTAGAGCTGGCCCTACATACTAGGCCATGCTTTGCTTTCACTGGGTCTCTGTCCATGCATCTGGGCTCCCTCACCTTGTACCTGCTGCAACAAAGGCTCTTGCCACCCCGCCCCCATCTTCTCCTCCCACCACTCAACACACACTCTTCTGTCTCCCCCGAATAAAACTCTTTTCTCTGGTTTACTCCTCAATATGTACTGTCACCCCAGATTAGAATGTAAGCTCCTTGAGGGCAGAGTCTACCTCCATTTTTAAAAAAAAACCTGTGTGCCTAGTGCCAGAAATTCATTTTCATTCATTTATTCATGTCTACTTGGTCTGCCTCATTGGTTGATCAAATATCCAAAGTTAAACATAATCAGGGGAATTACCTGTAGAGACTTGTGAGCATAGAATGTAATGAACAAAGTCTATCTGATATCTTGAATTCAGTCAGAGATCACATGGGATCATTTGCCTTTGCTTATATAATTGTGACACACCAGGGTAGCAGAGTAAGGGATGGCAGGGTGTGTGTGTGTGTGTGTGTGTGTGTGTGTGTGTGTGTGTGTGTGTGTGTGTGTGTGTGAGAGAGAGAGAGAGAGAGAGAGAGAGAGAGAGAGAGAGAGGCAGAGAGAGAGAGACAGAGAGAGAGGGAGAGAGAGAGACAGACAGAGAGAGAGAAAGAGAGAGAGAGAAAGAGAGAGAGAGAGAGAGAGAGAGAGAGAGAGAGAGAGAGAGAGGAGAGAGAAGAGAGAGAGAGAGATGGGCAGACAGACAAAGAGAGAGAGAATGAGAGAGTGAGGAAGACTGAGAGAAAGAAAGACAGAGATGGAGACAAAGTTGAAAGGAATCTAAGGGTTTCTCTAGGCCAAATCCCTTATTTTCTAGGTGATGAAGCTGAAGCCCAGAGGTTAGGTGACTTGGATAAGGTCACTAAGACAGTAAGTGGCAGACCTGGGATTCAGAACCAGGTCCTGTGACTCCACACCCAAAGGTTTTTTCTAAGTCTTGTCAGTTCCACCTCCTCACCCTCTCTTGCATCTCTCCCTTTCTCTGCACTTGTATCCTGCCCTTTCTGGCGCAGGCCTTCCTCCCCTCTCACATGGACCATTGCCACAGCCTCCTCCTGGTCAGCCTTCCTGTATCCAGTCTCTCCCCTCATTCGTTTCTGGCAAAGTGTTCTAAGGGTCAGACAAAGGGTGCCACGTTCTGGGTGGCTCAAACCACCACCTCAGTCATCCCCTCCACTCAGAGCCAAATGGAGACAGCCTGACCCCTGGTACTTCAAGAATGGCAGTGCTTCCCAGTGCCCGGCCTTCCTCCAGACCAGCTCCTGCTGTCATCATCTTGTGATGCCACTACCCTTGCAGGTGCCACAGCCCCACCTCCTCAGCAGCTAGGGATTCTGGAGACTTAGTGCCCACATCCTTGGCCCTGCCGGAAGTCTCAGCATCAGAGGTGGACATGGTTTTGATCTCTGGGAATGCCACTGAAGGTGGTACCTCTGGGCCTTGCCATTGGCCCTGCAGCTGCAACCTCGCCCCCGTTAAAGGGTGAGCCCTTTGAGGGCAGAACTACCGGCTTCTGTTTGTGTCCCCTGGGCGTAGCATAGGCGATGGTACATAATTAGTGCTTCATTAATAAAGGCTTATAAACATTTCTTCCATCCTTGCCACGCTGCCAAATGGATACTCATATAGGGCAGCTGATGTCCTGTCGTGTTTCTTCTTGAGAAGCTTCAGTGTTTCCGTTGCCTTTAAGATCGATTATGAAACCTGTTTGGCATTCAGTGCCTTTGACTCTCTGTCTCTGGGCTGGTTATGAGAGCTCCCCATACGCTGTGACACGCTCTCTCTGCCACTGCCTTTCCAGAGGCTACCCCCAGGCCTGGATGGTTGTCTTCCTCACCACCAACCCTTGGATCTCTTCCATCCCTTCAAGCTTCAGCTCAGGGGCCACCTTCTTCAGCAGACCTTTCTTGATTCCCCACTAATAAAGGTTCATTTAAGAGCAATCAATTAACCAGCACCACACATATTTTTGATCACGGATTTTTTTCTGGCTATTGATTTCTTTATATTCTGTGCCACCTTAGCTGTGAACGTTGTCTCTCTCCCCAGTAGAACATAAGCTCCTTGAGAGCAGCAACCATTTTGGTTTTGTCTTTGTATTCCTGGGAGCTGGCACATTGCTTGACACACAGTTGGTGCCTAATAAGTGCTTGTTGGTTGAATTACTTTAACCCACCACAGATGGCAGATCTCTTTCTGCACACCAACAGAGTCACACTTCCAGGTTTTGTGGCTTCATTGAGAGGCCTCTGCTCTCTCACTAACTCTGATTACAAACTTCTGACGACCTCTTGGAGTGTCTTAAAATTCACCCCTCTGTGACCAGGTGATGAGCCTCCTTTAGGTGAGTGATTCTTGGATAACAGATAGATGCACTGTCATGGGGCTGATACTTGAATCCTTTCCAGCTTAGCCATCATGGGTTCACAGGCTGCTGGCACAACCTTGGAGGGCATATGCAGGGTGCGTGCCCTCAGTCTTCTAGAGAGAAGGTCACAAAAAGAAGGGCTGCTATCATTCTGTTAAGTCTGGAGGGTGGTCTGGGCCTCCAGGATCAGTTGCTTCTCGTAGTTTGCAGACCCCATTCAAAGGCTTCTTGTGGCCTCTAGTAAAGTAGAATCTGTCTCCCAGGGATTACCGCCATCTTGACCTTCTCACAACTTCGTCAGCTGGAGCTGGCTCGGATGAACAGGCATATGGAAAGGAAAAATGAAAACATTTTTATACCCAAGGAATTCTTCAATGAGCCCTGGCTAGGTGGTCCTGTAATGGACTGGAAACTTTAGCAGGCTCATTTAGAAAGGGTTCTCAAGAATCATTAGACTGGCAAAGCTTCCTGAAGAGTCCCTCAGCTCTCTCACAGCTGCTTCATTGCCTGCTAATCATCTCTCCTCTTCCTCTCCCCCCAGTGCTCTCTGTACCACATTGGGGAGGTAACATTAGGCCCTGATTAAGGAGAATGAGCACACCCACTCTCCCAAACCATAAGAACCAAACAGAAATGGGTAGAGGAGAAAGGTGGAGGACTCTGATTTCTCTGTATAAGCCATTTAGACTGGGAAGGGACCTTGAAGGCATCTGATTGAACCCCTTCATTTTACAAGTGACAGCTACGAGGCCCACAGACTTACAGTGACTTCCCCAAGCTCCATGGGCAGTAGGTGCCAGAGCAAGGAAGAAGCCCTGTTCCTCTGGCTCCCTTCTCCCAGGACCTGTGGCCCCCCGTAGCTGTGTCTCTGTTGGATTTCTCTCCTGTCTTGGTCCCTTCTCCTTAGCAGAATATAAGAAGCTGCTGCTTCTGGGTTTGCAGTCCCATTTATTATCCTTTTAAACTCAATATCATCAGTTTAGAGACAATAAAGTGAGATTGGACTTGTCTACTTGGTGTCTGTCATGGCAGCAGCTCTTTCCAGGAAGGGATGGTGCTTTCTGCTTGTCTCTGTATCCTTAGCTCCTGACACAGAAGAAGTCCTTAGCGAAGGTAAGTTAAAGTGCACTGAGCTCTTTCCTGACATTCTCCTTCCAGGACCCGGCCTTCCAGCCTAGCTGGGTTAGTAATTATTTCCTGAATTCAGTGCTATCTCCTCAATCAATGCACTGAGGCACGCTGCCCCCAAGCATGGAAAGTAGTCTGCCTTAGAATCAGAGCTGGAAGGGACAGGAGAGGTCAGTCTAGGCCAAACCCTTCCCCTCAGCCCCCCACTTCCTTTATTCAGATGAGAAAAATGAGGCCCTGGGAGGTCATGTTGCCTGCCCAAGGTCACACAAGTGGTAACTAGCAGACCCCCAAATCAAACCCAGATCCTCTGACTCCCTATCCTTTGGGCAACACTGCCTCAGCTCTCTGCTGCCTATTCCATGGAGCCTTTCTGCTCTTCCCAGCTCCACAGAACCTGTTCCTTCCCATACTTTCCTAGAATGCTTTTTGGGGATCTCCTGTTGCCTCCATCTGGCTGTGGACATACCCTGTCCTCCTCTCTGAAAACCATTCTTTGCATTCTCAGTGCTGAGTACAGTGCCTGCATTTGGATCTAATTGGCTTCCTTGTAAGCCTATGTATTTGCTTCTGTGCATTTAAAAACATGATTCCAAGGAGGGTGCCAAAGGCTTCACCAGACTGACTGCCCAGCAGGCTAAGAGCTCCTGGGGTAGCTGGACCTAGGCTTAGCGAGAGCTGGGTTCAAATCCTGCCTCGGATAGACCAGCTGGAGGACCACAGGCAAGTCATGAGGTCCTCTGGGCCTCAGGCTGCTCCCTAAGATCATTTCCTAAGTAATGGGGATAGCCTGAGGCCTGAGTCAGGGAAAGGGGCTCCCACCTTGACAGGAACATAACTCTTGGATTTAGTGACCTGATTTCCACCGGGCATTCTCATTCGTTTGGGCCAAATGCTCCCTTATTGGCTCTAGGTTAATTTGGAAATAGCAATGGGTGGGTCAAGTGGTGGGCGGAGAAACAGAGGGGACACCTCAGTCTGTCCTGGTGGCACCAAGCACCAGCAGGAGAGCCCCAGTTAGTAGGCAGTACTCAGAGGGAGACTTTCCCCAGGGCTGGGAAGGAATTGCATAGGAAGAGAAGGTGAGGTTGGCCGGGGAGCAGCACCTATGGATCCATGAAATGAATAAGCCTAAAAATCAGGGACAGAGGACTCACTTTTGCTGACATTAAATAGTGTGTTATGAGTTGCAGAGTGTTCTGCAAACATTGTCTCATTTCAAACTCATAACAACCTTGGGAGGTAGGTGCTATAATTATCTCCATTATACAGATGAGGAAACTGAGGCTGAGAGGTTGTCATTAGCTCATGGCCAGAAAACTAATAAAGGAAAGGAAGGGGTATTTATTAAGTATCCACTACTTTCCAGTCACTATGCTAAGTGATTTATGAATATTATCTCATTTGAGCCTTACTGCAATAGATCCCCATTTTACAGGTGGGGAAACTGAGGTAGAGAGGCAAAATGACTTGCCCGGGGTCACACGGCTAGCTCATATATGGGCTCAAGGCTCAGCGTTTCTCTCTACTACAGGACCCAGTTGCCATAGTGTCTGGCGATAAATAGCTGTCATACTGAGGGTCTGAGGCCAGTCTCCCTGCCTCCTTGTCCGGTGCTCTGTCCATTAACCTTGGCTGCTTCCCTAATGAGAACTTCTGCATCTGAAGGGGAAAGTAATGAGGTTCCTGAGAATGTAATCTCCTTTGTGGCAGCGTGAGGCTCCTTCTCTCCGGGTGAGACCTAGAGTTTCATTTATTATCCTTTTAAACTTTGGGTTATTAGTTTAGAGAACATCAAGTGAGATTTGATTTCCTTCTTGGTGCTTGTTACAGCAGGGAGCTTCGAAGCTTCAGAAAGAAGAATCTATTTCTTCCTCTCTCCCTTTTATCTCTCTTTCTGGCTCACAATCAATTCCAGCAGCTTTAACAATAACCAATAAAAATGACAGTCTAGAAAGCATCAGCTGAGTGAATCCATCACCAGCCTGTGACTGGGAAAGGTTTCCTATGCAGGGCAGATAGGTTTCTTGCAGAAAGTCCATTTTATACAACTACCCATTTATATTTGGACTCCTGGCCATCCTATAATTTAAGATAATCCCAACAGTTTCCCTTTCACTTACCAACAAGGAGGACTTTTTCCAAATGAGCAGCAGGGCGGACATCGCCCATCAGATCCATTTCTGAAAACCGTCTGCTTGACACGGGAATTTTTTTTTTTTTAAGCAAAGCCAGTCTTCCTTGTCAGAAGGGAACAGGGGAGCTATATTTGGAGGGTTGACTCTGGTGAAAATGAGATGAGGAAAGTGGCCCTTGTGAAAGAGTAGAAGGAAGAAGATTCTGTCTATGAGAGTCACCATGAACCACAATTTATTATCGACTCTCTTCCCCCTTTAGCAGGAAACCACACCTACTTCTCTCTTCTATCAGAGCAGCCTTTCTCGGCTCTGGAGCTGGCTCTGACTGGTCATTCTCCTTACCATCAAATGAATTTCAAATGTAAGCGTTCCCTTCCGAGGTACCTCAGCTGGTTTTCTACTTCTGCTCAGGCATTCCTGATACCCTTTGAAGGACTTCTGCTTGAGCTGTTGCATGTTTGTTATCAGTGAAGCTTTTATTGTCTTGAGAAGCAAGAAATAGCTAAGAAAATGTCCTCATTCCCCATCACCTCCTCTGCTCATTTACAGTTTGGCCTTTGTTGAAGGTCTGAAGCATTGTTTGTTTCTGCTCTGAGTCTCCAAATATTTATTAAGCCCTTTTTATTCCATTCAATTGAATTAAAGGGTGGAGGTACAAAGACAGATGGGACAGAGATCCTGCTCGCAGGAAACAGTCTATGGAAGGGAAAGGCCATCTGCCCAAATAACCAAAGGCGAGATCCAGGCCAAGGGCAATGAGAGAGAATTGAGGAGGGAGGGAGAGATGCTTGTGGGACCAGCTTTGGACCAGAAGTTGTTGGGGGACTTTAAGTTGTATCATGATTCCTGTCCTCGACCAACTTGTAATATGAAGCTGATAGAATGTGTAGCAAGTACAGTTCAGGCACTGGAGAGGCAGCCAGGTACAGAAGACAGTAAGCTGGCCTCAAAGTCAAAAAGACCTGGGTTCAAAGGCTGCCTGAGACGCTTACAAGCTGTTTGACCCTGGGCATGTCACTTCACCTGTTAGCTTCAGATGACCATCATTGATTGTTCTGCACACCGCATAGTTCTCTTCTACCAGAGAAGGTGGTGGTGAAGGTTTAGACCTGCCCTGGCAGAGGAAGTTCCACATGAGCTCCCTACGAGGATGATTCCCAGGTTCTATCCCTGCCCTTTTAGCATCTGGTCTGGGAAAGTAAGAGTCTCTTTCAGTTGGACATCGATCAACCATACACTGGAGCCTCCACCTAGATTGCAACTTGTCTATAACTTAGGAGATGTCTTGGAGATTTGTCTCAAGCCCATAGAAACTAATTAATGCTTATGGCTTCAGAGCTGATGAAGGTCAAGACAGGGATTTGAAAACAGGTCTCAGACTCCCAGGTCAGCTCTCTTGCCATTAGCCCACACTGCCTTTCATTTAGTTGGATATACTGATGAGAAAAACAATGAGGAATGAGGACTAGACTCAAAGTTTAAAAAAAAAGGGGGGAAATGAACAATGGTTCCTAGTGTTGGTTCTGTGATTAAATCTGAATCAATCTCTAGGCCTGAGGGTCCCCGTGTGTAAGAAGAAGGGGCAGAAGAGATGAGCTCGTAGGCTTCTTCTGGCCTCAGTGTTTATGATCTTGTGATCTCTGATCTCTGGTCTATGATTTGGGGAGCAAGGATCATAATATAAACTTTCCCACAGACTTGGTATGTGACCTCAGGCAAATCTACAGGGGAGAAAATTCAAGTCAACAAATGGAAAACACATTTTTAGATGTTGTCTGTCTTTTGTGGTAGACAAAATGCTATATTTCATGTGACTGCTTTATTACTCAATTTCTTCTGGCTCACCCTCCCTGCATTCCTTCCCGAGCAATGTCTTTGTCTTGGGACATAGCTGCCTAACAGGGGTCTTTGTTTACTTTCTGTTTCCAAGCATCTTATACAGTGTTCCTAAACTATGGGAACTCAATAAATGGTTGATGATGAAAACTTCATACTTTTTTAGAATTAGAATCACAGAACTTTAGAGCTGGGAGGAACCTTACATACCATATACAATAACCTCCCCAATTTGCTGATAAGGAAACTGAGGAATTGGTACTAACATGCATGTCTTTTGAAGCTCTTAACCCAGGACTCTTTGCTCTACATAGACCATGTTGCCTTTCAAAGTTAGCCTTCGATCCTATGCCTTGAAGGCTCTTGTATTTCTAATTCCTGCAGAGAGCATGGGTTGAATTTTACATCGTTAGGTATGATGGGCATCATTAGCATATAATGGTTGGGAGGCATTTGAATTCTTCCTTACCACAGAAGTTGACTAGTCTGCTTCTTTGGAGATCTTTAAAGAGTACCAGCTGTGTTTCTGGTCCATTCATTCTTTCTATAAACACTTACGAGGTGCTGCCTGTGTGCAGAGCATTTTCCTAGGTACTGGGGGAGATAAAAAGGTAGAAGGACACAGTTCTTGTACTCATGAAGCTTACAGTCTAGGGCTGGTTTAAGAAACAAATACAGATGGTCATAAAATGCAATGTTACATGGTTAGTGCTTAAAGAACTTCCTGAGAGATGTGTAAGGACTGAAGGGCAAAGCTGTTGGTGGGGACAAGCAACCTTTGTGGGGGAGGTGGCATTTGAGTTCCTTTCTAAAGCAATTAATTGGAGATGGGGTAGAGAGGAGCACATTCCAGGCCCAAGAACAGGTAGGCTGGAGAGTGCAGAAAGCAGAGAAGAAATGCAATAGAATGACACAGTCTTATAAGAGCAGGTCAGGAGTCAGACTGTCAGAATGAGCTAAGGCTGACATGAATCCAAAGGACATTGTTGAGAGGGAGTGCTTGTTAAAACTCTCTTGGGGCCATAAGAGAAATAAAAGAATGAACATGACTATGGTTTAGAATGGACAAATGAGGATGAGGAAGGAAGACTTACTTGATTTCTACTCTCTTGGTTGCAGTATGTACTTCCTTCAATTTTTTGTATGCATTCTTAAGGTGTAAATTTGTTTTTGCATTACCTGGGTACCCACATTTGGCTTCTTAGATATTTCTCTTTTCTTCCTTATCAAAATCGTTTCTGTTTGTGTCTTTGGAATGTCATTGGCAACATCTTAGAACTGGGATGTTACCTATCCTTTCTCTGAACCTTCTGAAATCTATTCTAAAATGTAGGGTATGACAATTCAGAAGCATCACGGGTGAAACATGCCTTCCATCTCCCGACACAGAGGCAATGGAGTTGAAATCCAGAATGAAACATAGCCAGTGCAGAAATCTGTTTTGTTTAACTCTCCATGTTTGTTAGGGAAACTAGGTGGCATATAGGATAGAGTGCTGGGCCTGGAGTCAGAAAGACCTGAGTTCAAATCTGGTCTCCAACACTTACAAGCTGTGGAACCCATGGCAAGTCATTTAACCCTGTTTGCCTCAGTTTCTTCATCTGTAAAATAAGCTGGAGAAGGAAATGGAAAATCACTCTAGTAACTTTATCAAGAAAACCCCAAATGGGTTCATGAAGAGTCAGCCACATCTGCAACAACTGAACAATAGCACAAATTTGTTACGATGGTTTTCTTTTTCTTCTTTTTTTTTAAACTGTTCAGTGAGGGAGAGGTTAGAGAGGGAGAGGAAATAAATGCTTGTTAATGACAAAAATAATGAAATTAGATTTAAAAAAGAAAATAAAATATAGAATGTGGGTCAGATCATGTCTGGCTTTCCCTTCCTCTCTCACACATTCTAAGATGCCGTAGTTATTTCCTCCTAATGTTCCCATCATTTCTGATTCTGTAACTTCCTCCTTCTTGGTGAGAATTAGGTCCAGGAGAACAGTTCCCTCTTGTTACTTCCTTTACTTCTCAAAGAGTTATTTTTTAAATTATTTTTTTATTAATTTATTTTGTCAACAATCACTTCCATATGCTTTTAAGTTGAAAATTTTTCTCCCCCTCTCCCTCCCTCCCCAAGACGGAGCACAATCTGATATAGGCTTTACATTTACATACCCATTAAAGATATTTTTACATTAGTGAAGTTGTAAGTAAAAATTAAAACCAATAGGAGGAACCATCAGAAAGATGTCAAAGAATTATTTTTTTAAAAAGGAATTTGTGTAAGTTTCTTTACCTTTGGCAGAGGGACAAGCAAATACCTGGGCAACGTAAAGTCTCCCATCATTTTTATATCATACCTGAATCCCAGTTTTACGATCTATTTTCATTCACGTTTCCTTTTTTGTACTGGCAGCCTGTAGTGACCCCTCTATGACTGCTGCCACTTTTTTCCTCCATTGATCAAATGCTCTGCACTAGCCTCTCTCCAGCCTCTTCTTCAATCTCCTCCTATGAAGATATTACAAAGTTTTGAAACTCCCTCCCTTGTTCCCTTTATCTATTCTGTTCCTTTTGAATGAGGCTAACACCCATCTGGTGTTAAAAGCTGTGGAGGGGCTGTCACCAGCACCACTGGAGGCAGTATTTATGATATCATGAAGCCACTGAATTCTTGAAGTTGAAGCAGACCTCCTCCATCGGCACTTTGTCCTGGTCACGAAGTCCTTTCCATCACCTCTCAATCATTTTATGATAGCAACATTGCCTCTTTGCATTCAGGTCTCCAGTTTATCCTGTTCATTACCCATTCCTTGTACATTTCTGCATGGGCATTGGAGACCTGTGAATTTTTTCCCCCCACCATCTTCTTGGATATTTTCTCCTATGTGTGCTCCTCTTCATGGCTATTCTTCCTGTTTTGTGCCTGCTCCTGTCTGGTGAACACCTTGGCAGATAACGGGCACCTTTTTCTCCCTCTCTCTCTTTCCCTCTTCACTTTAAAGCCCTCTAGATCAGATTTGCTGAACTCCAGGCTATTATATCATTTAGTGCACTCCACCTAATGTCATTAGTCACTTCCGAGAGAGTACTTTCTGTAGGAGGGGGGCAGAAGCCCAGCTTCTGGGACTTGAGAAGCAAGGAAGTGTGGACGCATCAGTTCTAGCCAACTTTAAAAAATGAAGTTCAATAATGAAGGAGATCTGTTAATATCTGGATGGGATGTATAGGGTCAAGAGAAGGCTTTTGGAGGAATAGGGAGACCATGACATGTTTGCAGGCAGAGGGGGAAGGAACCAGATAAATGAGAGAGATGACTTCCAGAACCAGGTCTTGAAGAAGGAAGAAGGGAATGGGTTCAAGGACATGGGAAGAGAGATCAGCTTCAG